AGAACAGAGATGGGTCTTCCATGAAGTTTTGGAGTGTGAAAGTTTGTGTTGAAGAGATGGCCCATCACTGAGTTCATATGGAAATTGAATAAGAATGGGAGCAATATGCAGCCTTGCTTGACACTTTTCTCAGTTCTAATGGCATTTGTGAGATGGCCGTGGGGGTTACATATTACTTTGAGTGAGGTCCCTTTGTGAAACAAATATATTAGATGGACTAATTGTTGGTTAATTAAGGAGGCTTCCATTTTTCCAATATTTATCTATTCATTGAAATATTAATTAATTGAAATATTATTGTAAAAACTGATTTCCTACTGACAAAATGCACAAATATATCTCTTGGTACATTTCTAAGCTTTACATATAATCTATTAATTTTGTACAATTTGTCCACTTCTGCATCCATCTGTTCTTCATTCCACCCCCAAAAATGTTATTAAAATTTATTTTAAAAAAGCCCTCTCTCTAATATCTTCACCAGGTTTCTCAGAAACAGTTCTTAAAATACTTCCTCTCTCATAGTGCCACATTTAAATCTTTTTCTATTTCTTAATTTATTGTTTCGGTTTTATTTTCCAACATTTCCATTTTGTTGTAATTTGTTTAACCTCTCTAACTCACTTGTTTCACAGATTCTTCAACATTTTTTATTCATCATTTATTCCATATTTGCAAGTCTTTCCTCTATTCTCCTTTCAAACGAAACTATATCTCTATAACACTTATGCTGTAACATTCTTCCCCAATGTTTCAAAACAATATTTGTAAAATCTCTGACATCCCCTTTTCTCTTATTTGCTCTGTTTGCTCTCCAGCTTTTTTTTTTGCTGCTTTTCTGGTAGCAGCCATTTCCATTCTTTAATATGTAATCCAGAAAATAAAAGTTAGAGATTCCTCCCCTTTTTTTCTGTATCTTTACCTCTTTCGTCCTATTTGATGCTCATGTAGTCACATGTGTCAAATCATAAAACATTTTCTATACAAGTTTTATAGTTGGGAACAGAAAGAAGTGGGGGGAGTTTCAAAGAGCAGGCAGCGGCGTGGAATCGAAAGTACATTCCATTCATATTTTCTTCAGAGACTGATTAGATGACTGAAGCTTCTGCCGTGCAAAAATCTAATTGGAGAGCAGGATTGATAACTCTTGGCTATGGATGTGTTTTGTTGGAGAATATGAATTATGATACACCCAGAGGAGTGAGGGGAAAAACAGATTCAAGGGTGACAGTGAATTACATATCTCTCAGTCGGCTACGCCCAGGTCAAGCAGATATGTTCTTCCAATAAATCCTTTGAAGTTTTGGGAGTGTGGCTCAAGACTCATGATTTAATTGGGGTAACTGCTGGAATCCTGACAACATACTTTTGCAATTTTCCCTTCTCTCCATGTTTAATAAAACCAACTGTCCTTTTTAGTAAGTTCAAATAGTTTCCACGATATGTATTTATTTGATTAATTTAAAACTAATTTAAAGTGAACAATATTTAAATTTCATCTGCTCCCTTAATCCTTTTTAAACTTTCTTAATTTAGATTCTTGGAAAGCTTTTTGATTTTCACTGGTTTTAAATCCTTGTAATTATTTCTTTTCTTTTTACTTTAAACTACTAGGTGGTTTAGTAGCTGTGTTGCTTGGAAGATCTCTGTTGCCTTTTAAATTATTACGATCTAAATGTGCACTAGAAAGTGGAGTGGGTGAATCCAGTGTCCTTTAGCAACCTTCACATGAGGCCATGAGCTTGGTATTTCTTCTTTGGCTCCTTGTTTTCTATTCATGAGTTGCTTGGAGGATCCCTCCAGAGATCGCAGGTTTCCTTGCAAGAAACTGTCTTCTAGACCCCAAATGGGCAATCTCCTATCTTTTCCTTGCCTGAAGAAGCTTCATTGGCCCAGGTTTACCGCCCATTCATCAGTCTCCACCTCAATGTCATCTCCGCTGTTCAGAAACATTTTGGTTTGCTATTTTTGGAATCTCAAAGTAATGTTAAAACTAACAATAATAGAATTACCAATCACCAAGTCTGGGCTTGTAACTTGCGAGGAGTCCTGCACAAGCCCACTGCGCCAGCTTAATTGCAGCAGCAAAGGTTGCCTGGTAGCGCTGTGGCATAGGCTGAGCCAGGAGCACCACGTGACAGGAGTTCCCTCTTGTCTGAGCTGCAGCAAGGGAGCTTGCTGTTGCAATTAAGCTGAGGCAGCAACCTTCCCCAGACAGCAGGCCTTGCATTGGTAGCTGACCTGCTTCAGACCAGAGCAGGGGTATCTGACTGTATTTCTTTGAGGGCCAGATCAGCATTGTAGATGGGACGGATGCCTCCTGCAGCACCCTGACAGCCAAAATGGGGCACAGGGGGGCACGTGCTGAAAATAGGCTGAAAATAGGCTGTGCAGGGGTTGCGTGACCCCCGCACCCTGTTTTGGCTGCCAGAGGCACTGCAGGTCAGTCCTTTGCTATTTCCAGGCTGGCCAGATTTAAACACCCCACGGGCCTGATCTGGCCCACGGGCCTTGATTTTGACACCTCTGCCTTAGAGCCTCCAGTGCATGGAGGAGCGCCTCTCTCTAAAATAGGTTGCATTAATTTCTTTCCTTTTCTCCTTCCAAGGTTGAATTCAACTCTCTCTACCCTTCAAAGGAAGTTTAATTTCCTTTCCCCCCCCCCCCCCCCCCAAAAAACCCAAAGCCCTCTTAAAAATCAGAGGAGACTTCCAAATGGCCAAGTCAAAACCTGGATCTAAATCTGATCAGTGATTTGAAACAGGCTATCATGGAAGAAACTCCTCAAACATCACACAATTGAAAAAACATCCTCCCATTGATTGATATTAGAGACTGATAGACAGTGGTGGAATTCAAAGTTTTTTACTACCGGTTCTGTGGGCGTGGCTTATTTGGTGGGCGTGACTTGTGGTCATGTGACTGGGTGGGTGTGGCTTAGTGGTCATGTGACTGGGTGGGCATGGCTTGGTGGTCATGTGACTGGGTAGGCGTGGTCAACTCAATGTCACTCACATCAAGGGGTGCCTCACCTGCCCCCCCTGCCATTCCTTGTCACCCACCCTCAACTTATCTGTAGTTCTGTAAAAATGTTGTTCACCTTTTTTGACTTTATTATCTGCATACTATAGATGTACTTTCATGGACCACTGAAAGGAGGAAATGGCTCACATGCTTTACTCAAGAGTGTGATAGGCAACAGGCTTTTAAGGGGCTGCCACAAAGAAAGGGGGACAATGTATTTTCCAAAGAAGAAGAATGCAAAAAAGGAGCAATGGATGGAAACTGAACAGAGAGAAGGAGAAACTTTCTGACAGTGAGAACAATTAACCAGTGTAACTGCCTGTCTCCAGAAGTTCTGGGTGTTCAATCACTGGAAGTTTTTAAGAAAAGACTGGACGGCCATTTCTCTGAAATGGTATAGGGTTCACCCCAAGGTCCCTTCTAAGTATTATTCTGACACCTTTCCCAGGAGTTCTACTCAGAGTTTGGCATCCTCAGTTTTCTTGCCTGAGCTGGGGGTTGGACTAGAAGACCTCCAAGGTCCCTTTCAACTCTTGTTAAACACATGTGTATTTTATGCTCTGGACTATTGACATTGAATGCATGTAAACCCTGAAAAATATGTGATAGCCCTGGGCAAAAGAAAGGCAGAAAAATCACTCTAGGTGTAGGGACAGTATAAAATATTAACACATGATAAATAATGGAACAATTAAAAATAATAGCACAGAGTTTTATCTCTCTCTCTCTTCCTATTTTTTTTCTTTCTTTCTTTCTTTCTTTCTTTCTTTCTTTCTTTCTTTCTTTCTTTCTTTCTTTCTTTCTT